TGTAATCTTTCATCTCTCACCTGCCTCTCGCCTTCCCTCCAAGTCCCCAAAATCCACTGTATCATTCTTATGCCTTTGTGTTTTCATAGCTTAGCTCTCACTTTTTTTTTTTTTTTTTTTTTGAGACAGAGTCTCGCTCTGTCGCCCCGGCTGGAGTGCAGTGGCCGGATCTCAGCTCACTGCAAGCTCCGCCTCCCCGGTTTACACCATTCTCCTGCCTCAGCCTCCCGAGTAGTTGGGACTACAGGCGCCCGACACCACGCCCGGCTAGTTTTTTGTATTTTTTAGTAGAGACGGGGTTTCACCGTGTTAGCCAGGATGGTCTCGATCTCCTGACCTCGTGATCCGCCCGTCTCAGCCTCCCAAAGTGCTGGGATTACAGGCTTGAGCCACCGCGCCCGGCCGGCTCTCACTTATAAGTGAGAACATACAATGTTTTGTTTTCCATTCCTGAGACTCAGCTATTATGAATTCGGTTCTTTCAGTTATTTTATTGATGTAGTATTCAATCTACCTCTGGGTTCCATTAATTATAATTTTAATGTGTTTTTCACTTCTAATAACTCTTCTCAGATTGCTCATTTTTCTTTTTTCTTTCTTTCTTTTTTTTTTTGAGACGGAGTCTTGCTCTGTGGCCCAAGCTGGAGTGCAGTGGCCGGATCTCAGCTCACTACAAGCTGCGCCTCCCGGGTTCCCGCCATTCTCCTGCCTCAGCCTCCGAGTAGCTGGGATTACAGGCGCCCACCACCACGCCCGGCTAATTTTTTGTATTTTTAGTAGAGACGGGGTTTCACCGTGTTAGCCAGGATGGTCTCCATCTCCTGACTTCGTGATCCGCCCGCCTCGGCCTCCCAAAGTAGTGGGATTACAGGCGTGAGCTACCGCGCCAGGCCTCTTTCTTTTTTTTTTTTTTTTGACAGAGTTTTTGCTCTCGTTGCCCAGGCTGGAATGCAGTGGCATGATCTTGGCTCACTGTAACCTCTGCCTCCCGGGTTCAAGCGATTCTTCTGCCTCAGCCTCCTGAGTAGCTCGGATTACAGTCAAGCGCCTCCATTTCCGGCTGATTTTGTATTTTTAGTAGAGACCAGGTTTCTCCATGTGGCTCAGGCTGTTCTCAAACTCTCGACCTCAGGTGATCCACCCACCTCAGCCTCTCAAAGTATTAGGATTACAGCTGTGAACCACCGCACCCAGCCCTATTGCTCTTTTTTCTCGGAAGACCCACTTGTTTTACGGATGCAAGTTTTCAACAAATCTCCCTGAAAATGTAAATTAGATAATTGTTGTTTGTTTGTCTTTTTTTGTTGTTGTTATTAGGTTGGTTTGTTTCCACCTATTTCTTTCTTTCTTTTCTTTTCTTTTTTTTTTTGAGATGGAGTTTCACTCTTGTTACCCAGGTTGGAGTGCAGTGGTGATGCTCTGCCATCCAGTGGAGGTGGAGGTGATGTCAGCTCACTGCAACCTCCACCTCCCGGGTTCAAGCAATTCTCCTGCATCAGCCTCCTGACTAGCTGGGACTACAGGCGCCCGCCACCACACCCAGCTAATTTTTTGTATTTTTAGTAGGGATGGGGTTCCATCATGTTTGCCAGGCTGGTTTCGAACTCCTGACCTCAGGTCATCCACCCACCTCAGCCTCCCAGAGTGCAGGAATTACAGGCCTGAGTCACCATGCTCGGCCTTCTACCTGTTTCTTGCATTAACATTTAATGAGGGGTATTTTTCTCTGAATACACAGACTATCTCTCCCACTGTCTTGACATATGAAGGGCATCGTTTTTCTAGTTTGTCAATGATTTGTGTAATTAACGTTTAATTGCTTTGTTTTAGACAAAGAAACAAAAAAGGAGAAAAATGAGAATTAGACTAAAGTTTATGTTATTGAAAAATTTCTTTGACAACTTAGAGAGTTAACTGTTTTCATAGGATTGTGATTAAATAGGGGGAGACAGTTAAAGTCACTACAGGGAAAGACTCCCATTGGAGGCCTGATTTGATAGTAAAGACAGCTTCTTATTACTGACTGCAAGGTACTCCCCTTGTTACTGTTCTCCATTTCTCTATTTCTCTATTTCTATTTAGGAGGCTGACCCTTCTTCCTGGAGACAATTTATTCACTGTTTGAGAAATTCCATGGTATCCCTTTGTAGAGGTGAAAGATTCCTTTTCCTCACTTATTGCTAGGTTCATGGCACCTATAATAAAACATAGATTAACAAGAGAATAGCATCCAAATTTATTTAATAGAAGTTACCTGAACAAACAGACCTTGTTAAATTCTACTCAGCTTATTACCATTAGATTATACTCTTTTGTTCTCCAATCATACTTCTGCATAACTGTCCATAGAAATATTCAGTTTGCCCTGTGTCTTCATTTCAGAAGGCTCTCTTGTCATAAAACATTTATATGCTTTTGTTTTGTTCATCTGTCTTTTGCTGTAGGCGTCTCAGTCATGAACCTTGTGATGGGCAAGGAAAAGATATTACTTTTTCTCCCCTACATTGGACAAGGGGAGTGTGATCTAATGGTAATAAACTGGAGGGAACTTAGCAAGGCTAATTTGTTCAGATTCTTTTTGGCATCTCTGTGTCTTCAAAGATAAGGATGTTTCTTTCCTCTGGGAAAGGATACTTCTAGAATAAGGGTCTTATGATCTGCTTCAGGGCAGAAAGATGCAGAAAGGTGTGAGAGTGAACTTCCTGATCCTGCTGTTTTCTCAAATGCCAAGAATCCACATTTTGGGGCTGCGTGTCCTGAACCTCATACGTTGCCTTCCAACCACTGCATTATAGAACTGAAAGACTGATGAATGTTGAGATTAAGATCCACATTACCACTTTGCAACATGTCTACAAAAACTTAGTAAGACTTTTGTGGCAGCTGAAGTAAGGCGGGAAGCTCATTTATGTACTCTCCGTGAGCTCTCTTCCATTTTGATAGGTGTTAGACCGTGAGAACTGCAGAACCCTCATCGTATAACAGCTCCTCCCAAATCTCTGCACTAGAGACTTGGCAAACTCTAGCATGCCTTCTAGCAGCTTAAGGCGAGGTCCATACGATGACTCAGCTCTACTTAAACTGCCAGCTGAAGAAGCCCAATGCTGCTAGGAGAATTTACTTTTTGTTCCAGTCAAAACTTGGTAACAGATAGGCTCCCGAATTCCTTTTAGAGCAGTTACTTTAGAAATCTTACAGTTAGACCAGGTGCGGTGGCTCACGCCTGTAATCCCAGCACTTTGGAAGGCCAAGGCGGGAGGATCACCTGAGGTCAGGAGTTCAAGAGTAGCCTGACCAACATGGAGAAATACCATCTTTACTAAAAATACAAAATTAGCCAGACGTGGTGGTGCATGCCTGTAATCCCAGCTACTCGGGAGGCTGAGGCAGGAGAATCGCTTGAACCCAGGAGGCGGAGGTTGCGGTGAGCCAAGATCATGCCATTTGCACACCAGTCTGGGCAACAAGAGCAAAACTTCATCTAAAAAAAAAAAAAGAAGAAGAAAAAGAAATCTTACCGTTAAATTCTTTCTCTGCCCTTTGAGAAGCAAATCTACCACACAGAACTGTTTCTTCAAGGACTTGGGAGCTGTTTCTTTGAAATGCAAACATTCAGGGAGATAAATCTTGCTCTTTCTTTCATATGGAGCATAAGGACTAACTTAGCTGGGTGCTTCACTTCAACTATATCACCATGTCCTTCTGTCATATAGAGAGGCGAAATTTCTCTCCCCTCTAGATAAGGGCCAATTAACAAATCCAGAGGGTCTAGTCACATTAACCTTCCTTAACACCACTCAGTATCTTTTCCTTAGCACACTCCACTTTAAAATGTCATCGGCTTTACTTTTGGGGAAGTTGAGTTCAGCTGCACTGTTTCCTGTTGCAATAGTATTACCGAATAAAACCTGTCCTCACCACATTAACTAGTATCCAGATTTGTTGATCTTTGACAACACACAGATGTCTCCTGCACTCTACGGGCTTCAAGGTCTGGTAAATGAGTTGAACACCTCTTCAGTTTCCAGCAATGTTGGGTGTCTTCTATATTTCTTTGATTTGATCATTACTATGGAAACTGGAAGAGAGGGAAAAAAATCAAACATCTGGCATAATATTTCAGTCCCAACACCTTCCATAAGCTGTTCCTTGCAGTGTAAGTGTATGGAATGATGAAAGAGGCAGTGTAGTGTAACAGAAAAGACCATGAGTTTTGCAGCAAGAGTCAATTTTCATTTGATTGCTTGTTCTAAATTTTTAAAATTAGCTTCTTAAACCTGAGAAAGATATTAAATTTTCTGTCTCATTTTTTTCATTTCAAAATAGAAATAATAATGCCTACTATATAGACTTGGAAAAGTGAGATTGAACAAGAAAACATGTGCAACATGTGGTTCCTAGTTCATAGTAATTGTTCAATAAATAATTGTTATTTTGTGTTATTAATATCTGATAATTCTCAAAGAGATTTGTTTTCTCTGTCTCTCTGTCTGTTGTTACAACAATGCACCTCCTCATGCCATCCCTCATTTACCTATCTATATATTTCCTCTATTAGGCGATGTGTTTCTTCTTAGGCATCATTTTTCCTTGTATTCTAAGCTCCCGCCAATTGAAAAGGTGGACATTCAGTACCTGTTTATGTAATTTAAAATTTACATGAATACAAACATGAACAAAGTTACAACAAAGTTATGGTAAACTTAGAGCACCCAAACTGTAATAGTTTGCATAGGTTAAATTAATTAATGTCAGCTTTCGTTGTGAGAGTAATGAAGGCAGCATAAGATATTAATTTATGCATTTTTTCTTATATTTGGTCTGAAACAAAGACTTATCTGCTATGCTACCTTTTAGTTTTCCTGAGTCAGCAGTCTCAGAAACAGGATCTAAAGGTACAAATGGAAAATTACCACAGCATAGTTTCATTTCCCGCTCTTGAATATCTGGCTGAACTACTTCAGCTTAATTTGTTAAACCCCAGTAAGTACCTATCCCACATGATTTGACTCAGAGATTCTCTTTCATCCACAGGCAGTCATCTGAGGAGCAGAAAGAAGAGAGCTCCCAAATGCTATGTCTATTCAGGGCCTCTCAAGAACAATGGAATATCATCCTGATTTAGAAAATTTGGATGAAGATGGATATACTCAATTACACTTCGACTCTCGAAGCAATACCAGGATAGCTGTTGTTTCAGAGAAAGGTATATATATATATTTTTTCTAATGTATGCCTTTAGCTCTCCCATTTGAAAAGATCCAAGGGGAGGCCGGGCACAGTGGCTCACACCTATAATCCCACCACTTTGGGAGGCCGAGGCGGGTGGATTGACTGAGGTCAGGAGTTTGAGGCCAGCTTGGCTAATGTGGTGAAACCCCGTCTCTACTGAAAACACAAAAATTACCCAGGCATGGTGGCACACACCTGCAGTCCCAGCTACTTGGGAGGTTGAGACGGGAGAATCATTTGGACTCGGGAAGTGGAGGTTGCAGTGAGCCGAGGTCACGCCACTGCACTCCAGCCTGGGTGACAGAGCAAGACTCCATCTCTGAAAAAAATAAATAAATAAAAACAAACAAACAACAAAACAAAACAAAAAGATATAAGGAGAGAAAATTTGAGAGGCTTGTGATGTGTACATTTTTATGGATATACTTTTAAAGGACTTCAGATGTCACTGAAGATAATTTGAATGCACCCTAAACTTATTTTCATGAAAATTATTCAGTGACCAATTATTAGTATTTAAATTAATTATGTTTGATGGTAGAAAATACAATGTCTATTTTATATAGATATAGACATTTCATCAGTGAGGAATCGGTAATAAGTGGGATAATACACAAAGATAAAGGATTTCCGTATAAGTGACTTGTTGCTTCTTTGATAGAAAGGCTAGATTATTGAATGGAGGCCAGGAAACTTAAAGAAGTATATATATGAACAACATGTTTTTTTGTGGTAAGAGATTAAATTGTTTTTAAACAAAAAACAATTATTGGTATACCAGTGAAGGAAAATATATTAATATATGGTGGATAAAAACATCCCATTGGCAGGACATGAGTCTTAAACAAAAAGTAAACGAAATGAAATAGAAAGAAGGGCTTTGGAGGATCTCTGTATTCACAGAGTGGGTGATTTCGCCTACTCTATGTGACACTTCTATGAAATGTCCTGACAGCTTAGTCTCAGTGGAAAGCAGAAATACATTCTGGTTATGGCAATGTTAATACAAAATTAGTTCCCTATTTTCTTTGAGAGAGAGATAGATCATTTGTTGGTTTTGACACCAGAGTTTGCTTTCTTCTGCTTTCTGATTCTTCACATTGCACAAATATTTTCCTCTCAGTACTGATGTAATTCTTTTCTTGGGCAACCTATTAAGGAAGGGTGGAAAAAGTGGGTGAGGCAAGAGGTAGGGAGACATGTGCATGTTTATGCATATGTATAGGCAAACGGTATCCTGTAACAACACACCTATAATGTGCTAGCAGTGGCTAAACGAGGTGCTTTTATACGTGTTAGCTCATTTAATTCCCACAATAATCCTTTGAGATATTATTACCCCAGTTTCATAAAGAGGAATAAAAAACAACAAAGGGAGTAATTTGCCCTGGGTCATGCAACAAACATATGAAAAGGGAAAATTACCCTTAGTAATCATTGCTCTCTTCCCAACATTAAGCTATTTCCTCTAAGAATCAGTGGGATTTCAGGGATCCTACTAATGTCATGACCTGTAGATATCAATGTGGAGCTGAAATTAGGAGCATACAGATATCAAGGCAATGTGCTGAAATTATAATTGAAGAAGAGGTATTCTTACTAGTGGAGAAAAACACAGCGAATCCTTGATGACTAGGTAACCTAGGCAGTGATTAATAATTCACTTTAAAATTTGCCAGTATTTTTTGTTATTGTTGTTTTGTGCTTTGTTTTGTTTTTTTTTTTTAACAGGGTATCGCTCTGTTGTCCATGCTGCTCTGGAATTCCTGGGCTCAAGCGATCCTCCTGCCACAGCCTCCAGAGTAGTTGGGACTACAGGAGCTCACCACCATGCCCAGCTAGTTAAATTTTTTCTTTCTTTCTTTCTTTTTTTTTTTTGGTAGGGACAGGGTCTCCCTGTGTTGCCCAGGCTGGTTTTGAGCTTCTGGCCTCAAGCAATCCTCCTACCTCTGTCTCCCTTCTGGGATTACAGGTGTGAGCCACTGTGCAAAGCCAGATTTTTGATGAACTGTAGAATTGAAGTGCCCCACCATCTGTCATTCTCTTCCTTTATTCCATTTCTGCCCCCTCTGGCTCCTCAGGATCTTGTGTTGCATCTCCTCCTTGGCGCCTCATTGCTGTGATTTTGGGAATCCTATGCTTGGTGATACTGGTGATAGCTGTGGTCCTGGGTACCATGGGTGAGTATTTGGTGGAGAAGATCAACAACAACAATAACAACAACAGACAATTTAGTAAGCAATTATTATGTGCCAGGCACTCTTTTAAGGGCTTGACATGCATAATCTACTTTAATTTGTATGTAATCTGGTTTTGTCTGTATTGGGTTGGAGCTGTTAATGCCCATTTCACTTATAAAGGGTGTGAGAGACTGAGAGGTTATTTTCCCCTTCCAGGGTTATAAACTAGTTAGTGGTGGGACCATGATTAGAAATTTAGGCGATCTGTCTAAAAAACTCATACTCTTAACTGCATTGCTCTCCTACCTCCCTTGCATGGCTGGTTTCAAAGCTGTAGAATTCCAAGGATAATAAATTAATGGAAGGGAACACATGGAGCTGAAGAAGAAAGTACAATATGGTGCTGTCTTCCTAATGAAATAAATTCACTAAATGTACATTAAGCTGTTTTTATGAGTCACATTATTTAGGGAACTTATTTCTGATCTTTAATATAAACACCTTTGAATAGACCAGAAATTTCCTGAGGCACTTGGTCTTAAGTCGGTATTTTGTAATGGATGAATTTTTTTTTAGATTTTATATCACATGCAATCTGTTGTTAAGCACCTTCAGAGAGTCTTCATGACATTCCTTAATTAGTCAGATGCACTTAGTCAAGTGCATTCTATGTTATAGGTACTGGGCAGTTTCTCAAGGATCTCTCATTTTTAAGTAATAGAAGAAAGGTGAAAGATGTTGCTATTTCAAATCTGCCATGGGTCCAGTTGACTCTATGACATTTGCCTCTTGCTGCCTCCCTCGTTCTATTTCTTCTTCTCTACATTCTTTTTTCTTTTTTTTTTTT